TTTTTTAACAAATTCTTAATCAGGTCATAAGGCCTAATTTAGGATTTTTTTTAATCTTGTTAAATGACTAAAATGTTCTTCTTTTATTAAAAAGAAAATTAATTATTTTATAATATAATTTAAAATGTTTAATTAAAATAGTTTTAAAGATTTTAGTTATATATACACATTTTAAACATGATAAAATTATTTGTGTTTTTTGGTTTTAAAAAATAATTACAAGAGATGAGGTAACGAACACTTGGGACGGGGTAAAATAATCAAGTTTTTTTTTTAAAATTAAAGAGCGCATTATAGTCATTTAATAACATTCATAAATCCCTAGAGGCCTTATGACCTAATTAGAAATTTGTGAAACGTGCAAATCTAAAGTTGGATTTAGATATTTCAGTTGGATTTGATTAGAATTCTCCCATAATTTTATGGATTAATAATCTTTGATTCTTTATTTTTACTCTCAATTTGGTTTTAGTTTCTTAAATTTCAAACTATAGGTTTTGGTTTTTCAAAAAACAAAATAGTCGTAGTTTTTATTAAATTACAAGGACGAATATTTTAAATCAAAAGAAATTTAAGAACTAAAGACTATGATTTAAAACTTGAAAGACCAAATATTATATTAATAGTAATTTTATTTATGATATCTAAACAAAATAGACTGCATGACACACATTATAAATTTAAATATTATAATTATTTAAATATCATCACTAATATTCTTCTTTTTCTTTTTTTTTTTTCCAGTTCCCTTTTTGATTTGGCTGATTGTTTTTACTGCTCCTGGAAGTTTTCCTGTGTAAGGGATCAATCAAAGAAGTGGTACGCATGTTTCTTGAAATTCACTTTTCTTTTCCTCGTTATATACTTTGTTATTTTCCATCTATTTCATATTTAAGGGTTATTTAAGATATAAATTCAATAATTATATGTTTGGCGTTGTTAAACTAAACTTAGTTAATATTACATACAAAAATTCATAACAAATAAATTTGTATACACGAGAATGATCAATTTTTAGAATATATATTGGCGTTTTCCTCTAAATAATTTAATTGAAAGAAAAAAATTCATATGCTAATAATGTTTGTGTGTGTGATAAAGCCTTTTCCTTCCAATCACTTGCTGCGGAAAGTAGTTAGCCAAAAATATAAACATGACATAAAGGAAAAATAATATAAGGCTTTACAAGAATTATCCTACTTTAGTTTCTTAACTTATATTTTATACACAGCTTACTCAAAATTAACATTTAGGGACTGTTTCATTTGTTGTTTTCAGAACAGTTTTTTTCTCCTGAAAAGCAATAAAAAAATTGTTTGAAAATGTGTGTTTGTTTATGTGCTTTGAAAAATAAGAAAAATATTAAAAATTGTTGAGGAGAAAAAAACATATGTTAGATGTCTTCTTATCTTCTTGTTCTGTAAAATTAGAAAATAAGTGGAGAAACATTATGGGCATGTTTGTTTTATTGTTTTGGAAACAATTTTTTATTTTTAAAAATAAAAAACTTGTCTGTTTGTTAATTTTTAAGTAGGTGTTCTGCAAAACAAAAAATAAAAATATATTTCAGAAAACAAAAAACTCAACAATTTTTACTTTTTTTTTTTTGAATTTTCTGTATCATGTAGTTGTTGTTTTTTAAGCTAACCTTTTTAGACACTCTCCCATTCCCTCTCTTACGCTTATCTGCATTGTTTCTCAATCATCTATCTTTTTTGGTCTATCGTCAATGCACTTTCCGCTCTGCCCCTCACTTCTCTAGTCGTTTTTCAAGTTGATTTTAAATACAATTATCCTGAAAAAAAAAATTATTTTCAAATGCAAATTTTTGGAACAATTACCCAAACATGTTTTTTTAGTTTTATAAAACTTATTTTAAAAAATTTATAAAATTACTCTAAAAACGTAAAAATAAAATAGAAACAAACAAAGCCCATGTTTTTAATTAAGGACAATTATGCAAGTATAAAAATATTCTTTCATCTTTTATTTCACTGTTTTATACTCTCCCGATCCTTAAAATATGACTTAATTATTGAGTTAATTTTGATCCTAGATATAAGATCTATTTATCATATTTATCAGTTTTTTCTAATTATTCTTATTAATACTCCCTCAAGTATAATCAATTAAAAGAGGAAATGATGATATTAAGAAAGATGATTATGGTATTTTAAGAAAAACATGTCATATTTCTTATAATTAATTCACTTATTTAACTTCTTTAATTTAATTAAATTAATTAAATAGGTCTTATATTAAGAACCAGAGAAGTATATGTTTTTCAAATTAATTATTCAAACAGATTTTTTCCAAAGTTGTTTTGAAAGACTACTCTACAAACTTGGTTTAAATAACATAAAAAAAAAAGAATCAGAACGCTCTTAAGCACTCAATTAAGCCCACAAGAATTCCAGTATGTTATTTATTTCTCAATTCATTTCTTAATCTTTTTATACTCGAGAATTTGAACATTAACGAGGCCCCTTCCTAATTTTGCAAATTATGCTCAGCATTATACACTAACCTCCTTCGCATTTTGTCTTAATTACATAGATCTCTCGTTTATTTTGAATACATACACTTACATCTAAATTATTAATATGCTAGTTTACCCTTCATCATAATGCTAATTTTCTACTTTTGTTTTGAAGAATTGACGGGTTTTCCTTTTCTTTTCCTTTTGAAAATAGTTATTTGTTTGATATCTTTATCATATTGGACATAAACTTAAGTACTTTAGTAAATGCAGACATATAAAAGACTTGATGGAATATTTGGTTAATTCTTTTGATAAATATATACTCGACCAATTATATTTATAAATATTTATAAATTTAAATAATTTGTCTAATTTCTCCATCTTATGGCATTTATATTATATAACGGACAAAATGCGTTTCAATTTTATCCAATTTTTTTAGGCATCCTAATATTTTTCATAATTAATTTTAGTTAATTATCCTTTAACTAACCAAAATTTTATAAATTAAATAAAATTCCTTTTTTGGACAATTTCCTTTATTTTCACCACAATTGCAACAAATATTGTCCAGGACATTTATTCCATTTGCCATGAATTTCTAAGAATTTTCTGAATTTTTAGGCATATTTTTTAAAATGCTTATCCTCACGGACCCAGAACTTTTTAAAATTATGCTTTTGCCTCAATTAGAAATGAGACTATTAACTATTCATAATAATTACCTGAAATCCATAATTTCTAACCACACCTTTGGGCCAAATAATTTTTAGGATAATTAGACCTCCAGCCTCGCCCATCAGCAGATTTATAAGGCTTGGGAGCTGGGATTGATTTGTTTTAATTTTTGGAATTATGGTAGGAAATTTTGGACAATTTCCTAACATGTACGTAATTAAATTTCATCATTAATTCCCATCCAATAGGTAACTCTTCCAAAATCTATTCTCCTCATAAAATAATTTCTGCAGTTTTGTCATCTCAAAATTTAATCCCAAATTATTTATCCTTTATTTTTTTGAAATTACAATTTTAAAGCTAAAAAATTATTTCAAAATAAAATATTCCATTTCCTTGGGTAAAATTCTCTTAGTAAATTTTATTAATTCTCACAATAATTATTTCGGACTTTTATGTAATTTTAGTTTATTATATAATTTGCCTAAATATTACCGAATCAGCCAAAAATAGCCCCTTTATTCCCACAAATTCCTTTTTGAGGTATTCTCTTTATTTATGCCTCTCTAAAGCCTCCATTTTTTTTAAACCTCTTTACTATTTTTCTTGAGTTTATGATATTTTGTGAATTTCAGGAAAACTTTTCATGATTACTTTTTTTTTCGGCTGAAAACTTTTTAAAACTATACTTTTATCCCAACTTGACATTTCTATATGTTTCTCTATAATGTATTTGAAATAAATTAAAACCCAAAAAAAATTTCTTATTTGGTCAAGATTTTCCTCATTCTTCGCAATCTTAATTTAAAACAGTATATTTGTAAATTTTATAGTCAATTAATTAACCAATTAAAAAATTTTGACCATAAAAAGTTTACTTATATGTATTTTTTTTTTTGGCCTGAAAAAAAGTTTACTTATATGTAAAATGAAGCTTTTTCATACATTGTGATAATTCATTTTAATATTTTGAGAAATATTCCAAAATTAAAATAAAATTAATAAGGGTTAATATAATTTTGAGTCCTAAATTTGTTATTATTTTAATTTTAGTCCTTCTAGTTTCAACTTTTAGCCGTTTAAATGTGAGTTGCATGGGAACAAATTTACCAAAAGAGATATAATCATAATCTATAGGTTGACATTAAAAATATAAAATCACAATTTGTAGATTGACATTAAAAATAAAAAACATATGTTTTTAAAAATTATATAGTCAGCCCACTAACCCATCAGGAGAACACTAACCTGCCAGGTTTGACCCGCGGGTCTGCTTGTATCCTGAACTCTTTTAATTAGGAGGCATTTATTAAATATTGATACTGGAAATTAAGTTGGTCCAAAAAGATAGTATGCATACAATTTAAATATAATACAATTTTATTTTATGACATTTTTGTGTTTGCAATACTGTAATTCGTTTATTACTTATCTATTTATATAGCTAATTATTAATTAAAATTTGGATCCCAGAACACTAACAAAAGAGAATGCAAATGGTTAGGCATTGACTACACCAGAGATTTCATTACATATTTGTAAAACATTATATATCACCATAGCTTTTCACATTTTTAATTACTATTTTTGGAATCCTAATTTAATGTCTTGTCCATTTTAGATGGCATGCCCTGGGGAAGGTATTTTAACAGATCTTGCCAAGAGATTGGTAGATAAAACCATAAAAGAAGTTAGTTACTTTCGTCATTTCGAGACTCATGATCAGGAGTTTGTTGAGGACAATCAACTTTTGTGTAGAAGATTAGAGAAAGTTCGAAAGGATATTGACGGCGCCAACATTAATGAGCATGAAGTTGAAGGTGAAGTTCAAGATTGGATAATGAAAGCTGATAATCTAATTCAAATGAATGCTGAAATCAGGCAGAGAACGTCTGATAGCTGGTGTTTTCTTAGGAAACATCGACAAGGTAAGAGACTGGCACAGAGGGCGCAAGTCATTAAAGGTCACCTCCAAAAATATAAAAACTTTGAAAGAGAAGCTCGTCCAGGTAAACTTCCAGGTATGAAGTACCATGCTTCAAAAGACTTCATTGATTTTGAGAGCAGGAAAACAAAATTCAAGGAACTTGTGGAAGCTTTAAAAGATGGAAATCATTACATGATTGGATTGCAAGGGATGGGGGGAACGGGTAAAACCACATTGGCAACACAAGTGGGAAAGCAAGTTGAAGAATCCAAAGCATTTGAGAAAGTCATCTTTGTTGTTGTGTCTAATCCTCCAGATGTCAACAAGATTCGAGGCGACATTGCAAGGCAATTAGTTTTGGATTTAGATAAAAGAGTTGAAGCAGATCACTCAAAGCTTTTGTGGTCTGAAATTTACGATTACAAAAAAAAATTACTTATAATATTAGATGATGTGTGGGAGAAGTTAGACCTCACTGAAATTGGGATTCCATCTGGATCTGATCACAAGAATTGCTATGTTTTGATAACTACCCGCCATTCAAAAGTTTGTGAAGCAATGAGATGCCACCAAACAGTTCGCCTACACACGTTGGCTGATGAGGATGCATTGACACTTTTTCTATCTCATGCTAGAAGTAATGATTCTGAGGGTCTTGCGCACGAGTTTGTGAAGGAGTGTGGAGGATTGCCAGTTGCAATTGTAGCATTAGCTGGAGCATTAAGAAATTGGCCCGCAGGTGAATGGAATGTGGCTTTGACAACCTTACGAAATTCTAAGCAATTTGTTGATATTGATGAAGATTTGGTGACAATTTATAGATGCTTGAAATTAAGCTATGATCATTTAAATGATGAGAAGGCTCAAAGGCTATTTTTGTTGTGTTCTATTTTTCCAGAAGACTATGAAATTCCTATAAACCTTATAATTAGACTTGGTATAGGGTTAGGAATTTTTGGGGAAGCTGATGAATATTGTGCATCAAGAAGTCGAGCACTTGCAGTGAAAAATAAACTCATAGCTTCTTCGTTGCTATTGAATGTTGAGGGAAAAGAATGTGTAAAAATGCATGACTTGGTTCGTGAAGTAGCCCAGTGGACAGCAAAAGAAGATATTCAGGTGATTACAGATTCAATAATGACTTTAAAAGCCAACAAGCGATTTGTGTTTTGGAGTGCTGATGATTTTCCTGATCAACTTGATGGTACAAAACTTGAAATTGTACTTCTTTGGATAAGTGGAAATGCTCCAGTGAAAGAGCCAAATGCATTCTTTGCAAGAATGTCAAGGCTCAAAATTCTGTATTTACTTGCTGGATATGGTAGAAAATTTCCCACTCCTCCATCTTTGTCTCGGTCAATTCTTTCCACTCCATCACTGTCACCATCACTTCTTTCGTTAAAGAATATTCACACTATTATCTTGGATGGTTGGGAATTAGGTGACATCTCTATTTTGAAAAATCTTCAAAGTCTTGTGACGCTAGAATTGAAAAATTGTTTAATTATTGAATTGCCCAAAGATATCAAGGAGCTACAGAAGTTGAGATGGTTGGGATTAAGGAAGTGTGAAATTCAAAAGAACAATCCTTTTCAAGTGATTGAAAGATGCTCACAATTGGAAGAATTGTATTTTGTCAGGAATTACAATGTCAAAGACTGGGAACCAGAGGATGACAATGAAATTGCTCCTGATATATCTTCTTCTGCATTGCAAGTTTTTTTTATTGCTTGTGATGGTTTGAAAAGTTTGACTCATGATGATAATGGCCTACCAAAATGCTTCAATTCAGAACATATGAAACATTTAATATCAGAAGCCATGTTCAAGTACCTTGTGGGAAGAGCAGAAGTTCTTGAGTTGGGAAATTTAGGACAAACAAGATGGAAAAGTCTTGTCCCTGACATTATTCTTGTGGAAGATGAAGGCATGGATAATTTAATCAAGCTTTACTTGTATGAATGGGTTGACATAGAGTGCCTTATTGATAGTAGTAAGTGTCACTGTTGTAACATGACAGTCTTCTCGAACTTGATTGAGTTGCATCTGTATAGTGTGGATGTGAAAGAATTATGTGGGGGTGCTATGCCTTCAGGCTTTCTTGAGAAGTTACAGATTTTAAAGTTAGAGGGTTGTAGGAAACTGCAAAACATATTCTTAGATGAGACTCTCAAACTACCTCATTTGAAGGTATTGAAATTGAAAGATTGCCCAATGTTCCAACTATCAATTTTCAAACCCTCTATTGCTCAAAGTCTTGGGCGATTGGAAAAATTAGTAGTTGAACATTTTGCAGAATTGAAAAGTTTAATTGCAGATAAGAGGTCGGAAGAAGAAATGAGGGTTGTTGATGATCAAAAAAGTGATGGCTTATTGTTTCCGGCATTAGAGTCTCTTGAAATTAAAAAATGTGGCAAATTAGAAAAGGTATCTTCATTGCTTCTAGCTGGAGACCTTCCCAATTTGACAGATTTATATATAAATGATTGCGCAGAGCTACAATACATATTCAGTGAATATAGAGGTCAAGTTGTGCAACAGGAAATCAAAATGCTCCCTTCGCTAGCAGAAGTGAAACTGTTTGGAGTACCAAGTTTCATTAACATATTTCAAAAATGCAAGAGATATGTGCTAAGGCCACCACCTCAAGTTTCGAAAGAAGATTCAGAGGAGAGACCTAAGAACTTTAAGATGAGTTCATTCTCGTGGGCTCATAGGTGTTGTTTTTTGGGCCCAACTACAGATACTAATATTGGAGTTTCCAATGGCACGCTTCTAAAAGAGCCCACAATCTCACAGGTATGCTACTTTAGTCTTGCTCTTTTTGTCCAAAGGTGTTATTCTATTAATTAAACTTCCATTTTAGCATATCGTATATGAACGGTTTATATTCTCTCTTTTTTTCCCTTTTATTCACATATATTTTCATGTTTTTGTGTTATCATAATTTTATGTATGGTTTCCTTAGTGTTTAGTTTTGATAAAGTGCACCTTTACAGTAATATAAGTTAACTCATTTACTCTTGTTCCAGGTGATAACAACAATATATTTAGAAATAACAAGTTCTGATTGTAAAATAACATGTTTGGAATAAAAATTTAACAATATGTTTTTTTTATAACAACAAATTTTGTTGCAGGTGATAACCACAATACATTTGAAAATAACAAGTTCTGATTATAAAATAACAAGTTTGGGATTAAAATTTAACAACACATTTTTTTTTATAACAACACGCTCTGTTTCAGGTGATAACAACAATACATTTGGAAATAACAAGTTCTTATTATAAAATAACAAGTTCTGATTATAAAATAACTAGTTTGGAATTAAAATTTAACAGCACCCTTTTTTTTATATAACAACACATTTTATTCCAAGTGATAACAACAATACATTTGAAAATAACAAGTTCTGGTTATAAAATAAGAAATCTGGAATTAAAATTTAACAACACGCTTTTTTATAACAATTAATTATTTTATACTTTTAAAAAATAAATTATTTATAACTTATAAAAGTATTTTTAATCTATTTAATTTGCCAAAAAAATAATTTTTATCTCCAATTTATAATCAGAACTTGAAGTGTAATTTATTATAGATTAAAAATACTTTTTTATTGTTCAAATTTATAAATAAAATTTAGGGAAAATGACAACACACTTTTTTAATTTTTTTTAAAAATTTTTTAATCTATATATCTATACAACTCATTATAAATCAAACTACTTCTTATAAATTATAAATAGTACAATTTATTGTAGATTAAAAATACTTTTTGATTGCTTAAATTTATAAATGAAATTTATCTCTAATTTATAATTAATATTCTTTAAATATAAAAACTATTTTTAATATTTAAAGAATGAAATAATAAATTATACTATATTATTTAAATACTTAATAATAAATTTTAATATTTAAAGAATGAAATAATATAAAAATTTATACTATGATTTATAGATTAAAAATACTTAATTATAAATGCTTTATAATTTATAAGGAGTAGTTTGATTTATAATGAGTTGTATAGATATATAGATTAAAAAGTATTTTTTAGAAAAAATAAATATATTAAAAATATTTTTATAAGTTATAAATAATTTATTTTCCAAAATCATAATATAAATAATTTTCTAAAAAAACGTGTTGTTAAATTTTAATTCCAGACTTGTTATTTTATAATCAGAACTTGTTATTTCCAAATGTATTGTTGTTATCACCTGAAACAGAGTGTGTTGTTATTAAAAAAACGTGTTGTTAAATTTTAATCCCAGACTTGTTATTTTATAATCAGAACTTGTTATTTTCAAATGTATTGTTGTTATCACCTGCAACAAAATTTGTTGTTATAAAAAAAACATATTGTTAAATTTTCATTCCAGACGTGTTATTTTACAATCAGAACTTGTTATTTTTAAATGTATTGTTGTTATCACCTGAAACAGAATTTGTTGTTATTAAAAAAACGTGTTATTAAATTTTAATCCCAGATTTGTTATTTTATAATCAGAACTTGTTATTTTCAAATGTATTGTGTTATCACCTGCAACAAAATTTGTTGTTATAAAAAAAACATCCCCAACGTCACTTCCCCCCAATTAAAAAAAAAAAAAAACAGTTTCAAAAGAAAAACAAAGGAAGGCCGTCGGCAATAGCCAGAATCCGGCTGCTGGCATCGGAGCTCCGGCGGCTGGCAGCCGGGGTGGCGGAGCTCCAGCGGCCGGATTCCGGCGAGGCAGTGGTGTTCTTTTTTAAAAAAAAAAATTACAGAGGGGTATTTTGGTAATTTGGCCATGATTTCATAATTGCAAATTGGGACCGGGTCCTTATGAGCAATTTCTCAAATTCAGGGTCCCTGATTGCCATTTTATATATTAGGGGGTCTTTATTTGCAATTTCTCCTTTAATTAATATTTAACATTAATTTTTCTTAAAAAAGTAGTCTATATTTAACTCCTTGGATGTTGTGGGGCTACCTGCGTCCTTTCTAAATGGCGGAAAAGAAATTCCGCTTGTTTAAATCAGTTTTCTTTTGACATTTAAAATGCTCATAGTCTCAACTTAATATTCATTATTTTGGACTATTTATATTTGTTTGATGCATATTGGTATACCAATATTTCATATTCTCGATTTAAAATTTGAGATTTATTTTTGTATCTCAGAAATTTCAATAAACTGACGTGATATTTTAATTGCACTAAATTTAATGTCAATTTGTCTAACATTAATCTTTTTATTGCAGTAAAAATAAAGACAAAGGTAAAATACTCACACGCACGCACGAATAGTGATAATAGGTAGCATATGATTAACATGAGCAGGAATTTTGGTTAATTCAATGTTTTATTATTTTTTTATTTTTTTATTTTTTTATTTTTCTATTATTTGACTAGTATCAGGGGCATGGAAGTTATTAGTTGAATACCTTATAAATCACATTTTATTTTTTAAGGCATGTCGATCTAATCACTATTGCCAATTGATTGGCTTTATTGAAAGTAAGTGAATCTCATCAGAGAAACAGTGAGAGGAAAAAAAATGATAAGTCATGTTTGTTTTTACTTGTTGTTTCTTTTCTTTTAATTTATATGCGAGTCTAGGCCATATTTATAGTCTTTTTTTCTTTATACATATTTTTAATTTTTTATGTTATTATAATTTTATGCATCGGTTCATCAGTATTAAGTTTTGATAAAAACAGTCATTTAAATAATATTTTCTTTATAAAAATTTAATTAATATTTAATATTAATTTTTCTCAAAAAAATGAGTCTATATTTAAGTACAGATTTTGACCGAATAAATGATTTTTTTGAGGTTTGTGTACATGACAGAAAGCTCTTGGAAAGAAAATAAAATTATTTCTAGTGACGTAAATTTAAGAATCTTGAAAGAATACAAATCAAATATAGAATCTGATGCCACAAGCGAGTGAAAAAAAAAGAAGGAATTCTTCTATGCATTAAATTGAAAAAAGTCATTTTATATTGTGTAATTATTCAATTTTTCTACAACTGTAATATTTATCAATAAAATAAGTCTTCATCATAATTGCTAAAGCAGTTATATTAATTATTTTCTTAAGTGCACTAAATTAAGGAATATATATACTATCAAAACACAAACACGTACGGCTTTCGTCTTGGGTTGGAACTACACACACTCGATTTTTTCATTTCAGTATAAATTAAAGAGAAAAATAAAAATTCACAGGCGCACATGAAAAGTGATAACAGGCATATCATTAACATGAGTAGGGATCTTGGTTAATTCAACGCTTTTTTTTAATTTTTTTATTTTCTATTATTTGACTAGTAGTGTGGGCACGATGTTACCGGTTGAATGCATTGTAAATCACAGTCTTATGATACATGATGCTTGACGAACTTCTTTATATTTCACGTATTTTTTGATACATTAATTCTTTTTCGGTTCATCTCAGTTTATAATGGGATTGTTATTGAGATATATGATCATATGATAGAAAGCAATTAGTTATATAACTAGGTTGGCTCTAAGAGAAGTGATTGGTTGTAGGAATCACATGTATTGAGTGAAAGGGTTGAAACATTTGATTCAGCTGAATGTCTTATAAGACAACCATTGAGCCTACAAAATATAAGACAGATGACGCTTGATGGATGTTCAAAATTAAAGTCACTATTCAGTGTATCCATTGCCACAACCATCATGTTGGAGTAGCTGGAGATCAGGTATTGTGAAGAATTGAAGCACATTATAACAAATAAGGCAGAGGAGGATAATGTCCATCTCAACTGCACCTCCATCTTCCCAAAACTACAGAGACTTGATGTTCAGAATTGCAATAAATTGGAATTTATATTTCCATCCACTCTTTCCGGAGGTCTTCAACAATTAAAATCTATATTTATTTGGAGAGCTGATGAGCTGAAATATGTTTTTGGAAAATATGATGATGAAGAGTGTCTATCAAATGAGCATGAAAATAATGAGCCTCACATTCATCTTCCAGCATTGGAATCATTATCCCTCGGTGTTGTACCAAATATGATCAGCATTTGCATCAAAAAACATCAACCAGAGTGCCCATCTCTGCACATTGTGGAAGCACCAAAGGTACATAACTATTTTTAATTCATTATTTAATAGCGTCTCAATCTTGCTCTGTTTTTTTTTTTTTTGGTATAGAATTATATTTTATCTGTTTATTCTCTTTTAAAAGTTTAACTTTAAACTTTTATGTATAACTATTATGGGTCAGGTGGCTTTCAGTTTATGTCAAAATGCAATTTATCAATATTTTTATGTATCTTGTATAAGGATTATTTTATACTCGTAGAAGACAAACACGTATGACTTCCATCTTGGTTGTCTATAGTAATTCTGTTCATTTTCAATTAGTTTTTTTTAAAATTATTTTAGCTGGTACCTAACAGGAATTGAACTAAAACAATTTGATCATTACAATGCTCATACTCCTAATTTAATATTCATTATTTTGGAATATTTGTATTTGTTTGATGTCTCTTTTTATGCCTCAAAGTTACAGATAAACTGAGGCAGGGGAACCTCCTCTGCTCTTCTTTCAACTTTGTCATCATTATATAAAAACTAACGTCTTCTAAAATATTATTATAATCTTACTTAAAAAATACCTAAAGAAATTTAAACTATTAAATTTGATTTGAATAGTTCATAACTGTAGCGAAAAAAGTGAGAAAAATTATGCTTTATAACTATAATTTACAAATTACAACTGAAAAATGATAAGATTAAATTTTGACAGTCTTAACTTATTTATATATTTGTATACAAAATTGTAATAATATTTTTATAAAATGTTTTAGATAAAGTGAAGTAATATATTAATTATTACACTAAATTTAATGTCAACTTCTCTAACTCTGATCTTTTTATTTCAGTTTAAATCAAAGTGCAGTTTATCAATATTTTTATTTTGTATAAAGATTATATGTAATAAACTACATATTGCTAAGAAAATAGTTAAACATTCTCAAAACAATGAAGATTTTCATATAATTTTCCTATAGAGACATGTACAATTAATTATGTCAAAGTGATTCGGCTTTACTTCTATAAAGATTTCAAATTTGAATTTAAAATATTTCCCAAAAATAATATAATGCGTTTGTGTTTTGTAGGTGAAAGTGTATGTATTTCATAAGCACGTGGATCAAAATAGAGAACATTATTTTAAATTTTGAATTGCTTTTTTGTGAAAACGTGTTATAGGAAATTAAGAAGCACATGGAAGATGTGAGAAGTGAGGGAGCAAAGGAATCTGAAATACAAGAGATTGTTAACGTCGAATCACCAGTACTCACTCCAAGTGTGGGCTTCCAACATGTTCTCAACTTCCACCATCTAAAAGAAATAACAATCTTTAGAAATCAGAAGTTGAAGATTTTGTTCTCTGTCTCTGCTTGCAGAAAACTATCACAGTTGTCTCAATTATATGTACGAAATTGTGAGGAATTAGTTAATGTGGTTGAAGATGATTCTAATAATCATCATCATGACATGAACTATAGCTCCATTTTCCCAAAACTAGAGGATCTAAGTATTGGTGATTGCAACAAGCTGGAGTTTATATTTCCTCTGTCTCTTTTTGGTACTCTTCAAAAATTGAAATCTTTGAGGATCAAGAGAGTTGCTGAGTTGAAATACATTTTTGGGAAATGTGATGATGGAGATCATTTATCAAATGAGAATGAAAGCGATGAGCTTAATATTCATCTCCCTGCTTTGGAAAAACTATCACTTAGAGATGTACCAAAGTTAATCAACATTATTGGGGCAAAAAAATATCACCTCAGCTTTTCGTCACTACAAAGATTTAAATTGGGGGGTCTTCAAGAGTTCAACGGAAGATCTTTTTCAGATTTGGTGGCTTATTTACGAGGAATACAATTGAATGTGAAAGCTCCAAAGGTAACACATTTGACTTCTTGTTCTATGATGTGCATATTGCTTTGTTTATTTGGATTGCTTAGTATTTAAACTTGAACATATTTTCATGCTTAAAAAATTTTCATGTCAAGACATGAAACAACTAAATTTTCATGCATAAAAATTTATAATTTACTTTTCACTTATAAAAATTTTCTTTTCATCAATATATATGTGCGCGCACACACCTTTAATCAAAATCTTACAGAAGATGTTAACTTAAAAAACAATGAACTTAAAAATTTAAATATTTCTGCTAAATAGTATGAAGCAAAGCTGCTCCATATATATTACTTTGTTTATTTTACCTTTTCTTCTTGGAAATTTTCTTCTCATCACAGCAGAATCGTTTAGCATTTAAACTAGAACATCAATAACACATTTTTCATGCATAAAAACTTTTCATGTCAAGACATGAAATTAATGAATTTTTTTTTGGCCGAAAAAATTACTGAATTTTGATTCATAGAAATTAACAATTTAGTTTTCATTTATAAAAAAAATTGCTTTTTTTCATCAGACTTTTACAAAAGATGTTAACTGAAAAAAGCAATGACCTTAAAAATTTAAAAATTTTTGGTAAATAGTTTGAAAGAAACCTGCACCATATATAAGTTTATCTATAGAAGAAATTAACTACGGATTAATTAGCTTCTCATGTATATGTACATTTTATGATTTCAAGTCGATATAATTAGGTATAATCAATATGTATGTGTCTTTAACTTGTAAGCATTCCAGGCATCAATAAATAAAGTTTCTCTTTATATAACTCAATGCATATTGAGACATCTATACATTAATAACAGTATTGGGATTTTTCACAATTTGTTAATGTGGTAATTTGAATTCATGCTGAAATTTTGAATTGATTTATTTTTATTAGGACATGATGAAAATTATCAAGGATATGCAGAAGCTGACAAATCTTGGGGTAAGAGACTCCAAAATAGAAGAGGTTCTTAATTTGGAAGGAGTGGAAATTGAAGGTCCAACCATGATGCTAAGTTTAGAAGAGATGTGGCTAGAAAATCTCAGTGAGTTGAGGCATATATGCAGGGGTCCCAAATATATTTTGAGCCTCCCCAATCTTTGGAGACTAGACATCACAGCATGTAAAAAGCTAACAGCAATATTCTGTGTCTCAATAGTGAAAAACCTCCCACAATTATCCTATTTAAGTATAAAAGAATGTGACGAATTAGTTGATATCATTGAAGAGTGCGATAGGGATCATTTGCATCAACTTTGTTTCCCAGAGTTAGAGGGAATTAACATCAAGTGTTGTAATAGCTTGAAATTCCTCTTCTCTATCTCAACATGTGGGCTGTTTCCAAAGTTGAAGGTTTTGAAAATAGAAGAAGCCTCAGAGCTTGAGCAAATATTTATATGCAAACAAGCCAATATGCAGAAGATGGCAAAAATGGGAGAAGTATTTCCAAAACTGTCAAAGGTAACACTTGGAAAACTCCCAAAGCTTATTCCTATTTGTGAGGGGATTGATTTTAAGGATCTGCAATGTGAAGTGAAAGATTGCCCAAAATATCAAGGTATAAATCCAGGAAAAGTATTTTGATAATTGCTAGCTACTTTTATGAATATTAATATGATATTAAAAATTCTATTGCAGAAACTAATCAAATTCAAGAAGAGCCTAAAAGTGGGGATTCAGAAAATCAAGCAACAGCAAGTGTTTGGCAAGAATTTGCAGAGGTATATATATCAAACTAATCACCAGAAGAACAAAAAAAAATCATTACTTTTTTGGGTATTTTCTTTTAGTAGCGAATTTAACCTGTTCATAATTTTGATTGCTACAATTAATGCAAAGGTTTTTGGGAAAACATTAGAAATATCATAGTATTTTTTTTAGGATTCCTATTTATTATTTGCACATAAAAGAAAGAAGAGAAACTAATGCATAAATAAATATGCTTGAACATTACTCCCTCTGTTCTTTATTATAAATTTCAAATAACTAATTCACGAATAACAAACAATTAGTTAAAAACAATAAATAGGTTAGAAATAGATTTTTGTTTTCTTGTAATTAATAAATGAAAAAATGGATGAAAGAAATGTGTGGAGACATGTGATAGGAAAAAAATAATTAAGGACAACGCTAAGAAAAAACACATTAAATGTTTAGACAAACCCAAATTAAAGCTTACAAAAATAAACTATACCTCTTCTCAAATTTGAAACTTATAAATAGGACTAAAGGGTACATTAACTTAAAAGAAGTTGTCATTTGCGTTAAGATCAATTCTTTTGTGAATATCACCAGTGGCAACATTTTTATCTAATTTTGTGGAACAAAATTTGAAAGAAATGATAGTAAACTTAGTTTATGTTAGCTTATATAATTCCCAAACAAATGATAACAAATAATAGTAATGAAAGAAGCTCCCTCCTATGTGTGATATCAATGAAAGAAATTTGTATTTGTTTGCTACTGTTTTCAAATTTGTTTATATAATTTCTGTCATCTACGATACTGGTTTTTATCTAATTTCTTGAACAAAATTTGTCCTTTGATATTTACTCAAAGCTCAGAAACAGAGAAAAAGGCTGTTGGAATGCATCCAACTTCAGAGTAGTGGTATGTGGAGACGTAAAGCAAAAAACCACATAACTGAACTCTTATATATTATTGACAAGAACATGGATTCTTGTGGATCGAGGGGGAAAAAAAGAACAGTGATTTTAGTAGCACATATTAATTGGAAACTTATAGCTTAGGAATCATATGTATATTGAGCTTAGTAGAAAAAAGAACAGGAGTTTTAATTAACAGGCAGCAATATCTGATGAAGTTAAGATAATAACTTCATCAACTCATTTAAAAATATAAAGTTAATTATTGAGGATGTGAAAACAAAAATCATAAATATCTATTATATGTTGTTGAGTTGAAAGATCAGATTTACATGCACAATATATATATATATATATATATATATATTTATATAAAAGAAAAACTAATCTAAGGATATCTTTTTTTTTTCTGTTGTAGATCACAGAGGAAACATCACTTGAAATTCAAGTTAAAGACCCTACTCTACCTTTAGAGAAAAAAGCATCAGGAACTTTAGCAACAAAATCACAACTGAGAGGGACGTCTTTACATGTAAGTTTATATATATAGATTATTTAGGTGATTTCAACATGATAGGAATAGAAATGTGTCAAAATAGTTCTCTTCTAATTATTTAATATTTTAACTAGGAGTTGGAGGATGAACACAAAACAAGTGAATCAGCTATGCAGCTCCAACAAGAGGATCTTGCAGAAACAAAAACCATTAAAGCTTCTCAGAAAACCAATGTACCATTTGATGATAATGTAGGTTATAACATAGAGGACTAAGTTCTTTCAAAGTTCGATCATTACAATATTTGATACTTATTTCTATTTTGTGGTATTCAGAGTATTGATATCATATCAAAAGAAAAAGCTGAAGGTGGTCCCAACTTAGAGGATGTAGTGCCAGCAACTATGGTAGCTGATTTAGCACCAAGAAACTCATCAGAAACATTAATCATTCCTCACCAAAAAGAGTTCCCATTGGTTATTGATTGGTGTTTTATGACATTTTTTAAATAAAGAATTAGGAATGCATTCTAAATTAATGGCTTAAACATGTGCCTTTTTCCTTATTCATTGCTTGATTTAGGATTTGAAGCCATCACAATCAAGAAGTGAAATAAGCATGAAATGCCGAGAGGAGTTAGCAGATAGGATGATTATTGTATAGTTGAATCTTCACAAAATATTAAAGGATCTAAGGATTATAATTAAACAACATGATACTCACATATCTTCTGGTACTTTTGTAGGGTGTTACTTCCTCAGTTGTTTCACAAGTCGGACACTTGCAATTTGGTCCATCTAAATTGGCAAGTTTACCAAGTTCATTTCAAATTCATAGCATGCTTTCATTTATGGAGGAGCACAATTGAAAAGAGAAATTCCTTTGTGTTTTGTAGGTTGCCAGCACGGAAGAAACACATGAGCAAGGCTCTCAAAAGGATGATGCTGCAGAGGAAGTTCCAATAATAGTTCAATCAACTGATTCAGATTCAAGGAAGCAAACTAGAGTATCACCCATTTCTGCACAAGTAAATGCATTATAATTACCAGAAAAAAAGCATTATCCTTACTATTATATAAGATATCATGTGAATTATGAAGTTGCTAGATGCATTGTTTTCCTTTTTACTTTTGCCTAGTTATAATTATGGGAAATCTTATCTTGTGATGTTATCCAGAGATCCAAAGAAAGAGAGAAAGAAGCTGTTAAAAAACATGCTTCGCAGCTATCAATGGCTTCAATGCTGACAAATTTAGACGCAATTCGATTGACATTTCCAATGTCTATTTATTATCAATATAAATGATTTTAAGTGTGTTGATCAGGAACTTTTTAAAGTGTAAAAAGGTTATAAAAGTTAAGACCAACTTGCATTTCTTTTTAACAATTAATCAACATCTAATGACTAAACAAGAAACTTTTGGATTCTTGATTCTTGAACACTGAAAAATAGAACTACAAGATACAAAGTGTCTCTCACAACTTAGCAAAACCTAAGGGTAGTACTCTAGCACCTATAGGACATAGGTAAGTACAACTTATTTCTTCTCACTTTTAGATTACTCAGAGCATCAAAGATACAACAGAACGAGGTCTTGAAAAGAATTATGTAGAAGATGATGTCGTGACAGCAGTTGGATCAACTAATTCAGATTCAGGGAAGCAGTCTACAGGACCAATTGATGACCTCTCTGGAAAACATTCTGCACTAGTAATGTTACCGTTTTCTAATCATGGAAATCGAAGTACTCTGTATGATTTTTTCCCCTTATTCTGCACGAGTTAGTTTAGATGCTCACATGTTATCTTGATGTCTGTTAGAGTGCTAAGGAAAAAGAAAAAGGAATTGATGAAAAAGCTTCTGCTACAGACACATCACCAATGGCAGCTCCATTCATAAGAGCCCTTGTATGTGTTTTAAGCTATCTCTATCAGTACAGTCATAAACAACTACTCATTTTAAAAGAGAACCAATTAGATACTGCTGCATGTTTTTTCCCCTTTTAATTTCGTTCGATGCAGACTGTTAAAGAAGCAGGAGATCACTCAAATGTTCAAGAGGAATCAATCATTCCCCAAGTCATTCCTTCTCTCCATCATCGTAAGTGTCTTTCTTTACATGATCATTATAGTACTACATTTTTTTTTTTTTGGGTCTTTGATCCATCTGCTAACTTTTTCACCTTTGACAGAATCACAAATTGCTTATGCTGGCACTTCGTCTCCTAAACTGGGGATTTTTGAAATTTTCAAACTTGTGGAGCTGAAACAAGGAGAAACAGCTTTGCTTGCTGAAGCACTAGAGCGATATCCCCAACTATTGCTGCCTCGTGAACATCGAACCCATCGTATAATAGCCTGGTCCTACAGGGTACTGGTTGATATTCTGGTCATGCTCGCCACCAAGACTCCTTATACGATTACCACATCAGAAAAATCAACCTTGGAGGCAAACTTAAGTGAAGCAATTGTTCTTGGGTTCGACAAAGACTGGGTTGAATCAGCTCGTGCCAAAGTTTTTGGCTTTGACATATCTGATATCTCTGCAGCAAAAGAGGAGATTCAAGCCATGGGGGGCAAGCTTGGAGAAATTGATTCTCAGTTGTTGGATCTCTCCGAACATTGCAAGAAACTGTTTCAGAACATGACCATGATCAGAAACATAGCAAGTGCCAAAGGTAAACCCTTTGGCATTTAGGTGTGTTTTACATTATTGTGCTTTGTTATTGGTTTTCGATTCCAGTAAGACTCCAGAGGAGGGTACCATGATGCCTACGATCGAGATATATATATATATATATATATGTATGTATGTATGTATATCCAAACATTATTTATCACTCTCATGTATTCATAAATCAGACCTTATTTTTCATGGATGATCTGCAACTGATGTATTTGTGGAATACATATTTGATGGATGCATATTTTGTTGCAACTTTGAGTTTTAAATCGGAAACTGATTCTCATTATAAGTCTTCTCTTTATATTTTCATTGGGTGTGATTGCAATGGATAGAGAACTTCCCCCGGGGGAAGGCCGCTTGGTTCTCTTTGATTTGAACCATATAGTTGTATTTCCAATTATTACATAAATATAAATTTATTACGAAATTAAAAAGTTATTTTATAAATTAGAAAATAACATATTTTTAACATATGAAATATTTTAATATAATTAAAAATTATTTGAAAATTTATAATATTTGTATGAATAAAAAAATTATTTTTTTACATGACATTTTAATAGTTTGAATAAATATTAAATATATTTTTTTAAATATGCCCACATTTAAATATTTAATAAAGGTAGTGAGAGAAAGTAAAAATTAATAATGTTGAAGTTCATGGTATTTAATAAAAATAATATTAAAAAATCACTTGAATTTTAGAATATATTTAATACTTTTTAACTATTTTATTGATATATATATATATATATATATATGAATTATTTAGAAGCGGTGCATAACAGAGGAAGGGGTAAGTATCTTTTATTTATTAATAAAGCAGAGATCAAGAATTCCATCATACTCTGATTTCTCACAATAAAATATATCTTTATGTTATATATGTTAAAAAGAAAAACAGTTTGGATAGAACTTTTTTTTAATTGGCTAATGCTGTGCTAATTTTTTAAAAGAAAAATCTTAGAACTTGCTTTTGTTGATAGTCTGTTTCTTCGTGTTATATATTGCTTATCGAATTCTCAATTTCAGATTTTTAATCTTTCCTTCATCATCCTTCTTAGTTTTCTGTTCTCTCAGCCCTCTTTCCTCTTTCTCTATTTTTTTTTTTTTTGCTTTTTACTTATTTTGTCATTATTCCTTCTATAATCATAAGGGACAATTATAATGAGATCCTAAAAAAAAAATTACAAAATAAGTCATAAAGATTGTTATTCTTCACTCTAAAACTTGTCTGCTAGTGAGACCTTTTAAAAATTATTTTTTTTTCCCAGAATTTGATTATAATTCTCCCTGGTCATGATCTGAAGGGATGACATGCGGGTGACCCGAGCCCGTATAAGAAAACGGGCTCAAGCTTCCCTGGTCCTCTTCGAATTGGACTTCCCTCCTTTGCCCTTTTCCTCCGTTGCCTGTCGGCTCCCTAGACGACGTCGTGCGCAGTGCCATAAAGGGCCAAATGGATGAATGATTGAATGGTGGAGGAGGCGCTGAGTTGGAAGAAAGCTAGTTATTCCAATAATAAATTAATATCCTCCTCATATACATTTTATAAAGCCACAAAAATTGTCTTTCATTAAAAAAGTTAAAAAAAATTAAGTGAGTAAAATAACTTAGATGAGTAACATTCAGTACTCTAAAGTATTTTCAGTAAAATCCAGTATCATAAAGTAATTATTTATACATTCAACATCTTAAAATATTTTTCTAATAACAGTTTCTACTAAAATAAGTCTTTATGGCATCTAATACTCTAAAATATATTTTTAGAACCACCCACTATTCTAAGTTTAATGTGCTCATGTGCTTATTTGCTACTGACAATATACTTTAAGGACAACAGATTGTATAAAAAATTATTTTATGATATGGGTGCTATTGAAAAATACTCTAAAATGTTAGATACATCAAAAGTTATTTTAGTAAACTGAAAACAACTAAAAAAACTTCTAATATATTTTCTTGGTAGCAGTAAGAACACTAAATTTGAGATACTAGGTGCTTTTAGAAATATATTTTAGAGTTCCCGATGCCATAAAAATATATTTTAAGATACAGTGTCACTGACAAAATATTTTAAGGTGTTAAATGTACAAATAATTACTTTAAACTTATGGTTTTCAAGGAAACAAGAGACCTCTGAGTATACGTTTTTTCCCCTCTTTTTTGAACAACTACATTTGCTAACTTTTTTCGTTGTGACAGAAAACAAGTCACCGTCGCTGCCACTTCGTCTCCTAGATTGGGGATTTGTGAAACTTTCAAACTTGTGGAGCTGAAAGATGGTTAAACGGTTTTACCTGCTCAAACACCTGAGTGATATCCTTAAATATTGCTACCTCAGGAACATCGCTCACAACGTATGATAGCTTGGTCCTACCGAGTGCTAGGAACTTATTGAACTTTGACCTCTGTCCTATAACGTACGTTCTAGCATAGAGGACTAAGTTATTTTCAAGTTTGATCATTACAATACATGATAACGTAGTTCTTTATTCATTTTTTTGGTTTGGGATTTGACGCCATCAAAATCAAGAAGCAAAATAAGCATGACACACCAACAGATTCTTTCATATCTTTTGGTATTTTTGCAGTGGGTTACTTCCTCAATTGTTTCACAAGTTGGAGGCTCGCAATGTGGTCCATCTACATTGGTTAGTTCAGTAAGTTCATCATTTTAAACTCATAGCATGTTTTCATTTATGGAGGAACACAATTGGAAGAGAAATTTCTTTGTGTTTTCTAGGTTGCTAGTGAAGGAAACACATGAGCAAGGCTCTCAAGAGGATGATGCAACAGAGGAAGCCACAATAGCAGTTCAATCAACTGATTCAGATTCAAGGAAGAAAACCAAAGTATCACCCATTACTGAACAAGTAAATGCATTATAGTTACCAGAAAAAAATGCATTATCCTTATTAATATACCTATACCCCATGAATTATGAAGTTGCTAGACGCTTTTTTCCTTTTACTTTTTGCCTACTTATAATTATGGGAATAACGTTAAACAAATTTTATCTTGTGATGCTATTCAGAGCACAAAAGAAACAGAGAAAGAAGCCGTTCGAATATCAGTAGCTCCAATTTTGACAAATTTAGAGTCAATCAGATTGACATTTCCAATCACTGTTTGTTACTGATATAAAATGATTTTAAGTGTGGTGATCAATATCTTTTTAATGTATGAAAAGGTTATAAATGTTAAGACTCGCTTGTAATCCTTTTTAATGATTGATCAACATCCAATGACTAACCAACAAGCTTTTGGATTCTTGATTCTTGGACATTGAAAAATAGAACTCCTACACTTGTGCGTTTTTAACGTGTCTTTCACAACATTGCAAAAGCTGAGGGTGGTACTCCTACACTTATGTAACATGTGAAACCGAAATTTATTTCGTCTCACTTTTAGATTACTGAAAGCATCAAAGATACCACTCAACAAGGTCTTGAAAAGAATTATGCAAAAGATGATGCCATGACTGTAGTTGGATCGACTAATTCAGGTTCAAGGAAACGATCTACAGGACCAATTGATAATCTCTCTGGAAAAGATTCTGCACTAGTAAGTTTGTTACCTTCTTCTAATTATAGAAATTGAAGTTTTCCGTATGATGATTTTACTCTTTCTCCGCATAAGTTAGTTTGCATGTTCACATGCCGACGTCTGTTAGAGTGCAAAAGTCATTTTGTTGTATGCAGACTGTTACAAAAACAGGAGATCGCGCAAGTATTCAAGAGGAAGCTGAATCAGAGAAGCCTATAAAAGCGATCGCTTCCCAAGTCATTACTTCTCTTCATCACCGTAAGCTGAATCAGATTACACCTTTTTTTTTTTTTTGGCTTATTCTTTTGAACCCTTTGCTAGCTTTTTTGGCTGTGACAGAATCACAAATTGCTGATGATACTGGCACTTCATCTTATAAATTGGGAGCTTTTGAAATTTTCCAACTTGTGGAGCTAATAGATGGTGAAGCGGCCTTACTTGCTCAAGCACTGGAACGATATCCTCAACTATTGCTACCTCAGGAACATCGCTCACAACGCATGATAGCTCCTACCGAGTGCTGGTAGATATTTTGGTGGTGCTGGCTACCAAGACTCCTTGTAGCGTCACAAGTTCAGAAAAGTCAACCTTGGAGGCTAACTTATGTGATGCAACCTTGCTTGGGTTCGACAAAGAGTGGGTTGATTCGGTTCGGTCTAGAGTTTTTGGTGTTGACATGTGTGATGTGTTGGCAGCAGAAGAGGAAATTCAGGTGAAGGAGGCCGAGCTGGAAACGTGTGACATTGCCTTGGAACAAGCTCGAAAGCAAAGAGTAGAAGCCAGAGAGCGACTTGCAGTGATTGATTCTCAACTATCGGGTCTATTGGAAGATCATAAGAAGTTGACTACTGAGATAACAGAGTTTAGAGAAATAATAAGTGCCAAGGACAGACCCTTTGGCATTTAATTGTGTGTTTGATTTTTAGTTTTTGTTATTTCGTTTCTGTTTCTAAGGACACTAGAATTCTGAGCAGACCATAATGCATATGATACGGACAAAGACTTGCTTATGTTCAAACCAATAACAGCAGGACAGAGTTTGAAGTCTCTGTTGTATGCATAATTAAATTTGGCCTTTATATTTGCTGGATGATCCATATCTATTGTTGGTAATTATTTTCAGTTCAGAAAAGCTACCATATTTACAAGACAAGAACCCACATACCTATCTAATATTTATTATCCTCAAGCATACGCAAATTGAACAGATCAATTTTTCTTTTTAGCTAGAACTGTGTGCCAGTGAAATAAGATAAAATAAATACAATTTAGCCTTTGCTCTTAATATCCCGGGGAGGGACTTGATTTTATTGTCGATGAACTATATTCCTTTTCTTTTTTGTCCAAAAAGAATTCCATGCTATTATTAATCACCAATAACAATTCAAAGTACAAACACCAAAAGTCAAAGCCAAATTACAGAACTCTCAAAAATACTAACACTTCAATCCTAGCACAACAAACTCACCAAATATCTTTCCATAGTGTTTCTGGTATCTGCAATGAGCTTCTCTTGATATTTAATAACCAGACTTTACAGAATATTTGCCATCTTTTTTAGGCATCCAAATAGCACAATCATCAAGTCTGTTACTAGATAATGGAATTTTTAGAATTTGTTCCTTCTCTACTATAGAAATACAAGCTTCTATGGCGCTTAGATTCCACCTGTCTCCCTCAATCAGCTCCTGCACTCTCATATTGAGTTAACTCCTTCCCCTGTCGTACTCCTAAGTTTAG